CGAAATTCCACTTAGGAGGTGGCAATATAATTTCGTGAGTTATCTCAGAGAGTCGATAACCAGCGATTGGGGGGCTACACCTGAAGTGCAGGACTGGAAATTGTGACCGTAACTCAACAAGTATTAGGGGAGGAAAACTCTGTAGAGCCGCCATCTGTAGGCCTTATCTACCGCCGTAAATATCGTACGGAGCCCCGTACGAAACGAGTACGAATTATGGCTCCAAAGGTACTTTCAGTCGTCGTTGTAATGGATAATACATGCACCCTTCGTCGCCGCTCTGTTTCATAATTTTCTAGACATTTTTTTTCTAATTATTATCTGATGTTCGTGACTTTCGACGAGGGAAGATGTCGTTAGCATTAAGTTAAAACGAATTTGTATTAATGTATATTTACCATAATAAAATTTAATTTTAAATTCAGAACATTTCATTGTTTAATTAAAATCTTATCAGTAAACTTCGGATCTTTCAAAATATGTATTTAGTTTCTAAGTTATCCTTTGTTTGTTAACATACGTCTTGGTTAGTCTGGTTGCTATTTTAGGATATACCTATGTCTGTGAGGCCACGTAACATGTTCCTATAATTAATTTAGCCTACAGAAGCCCATGTTAATAGCATGTAACATAATCTTCCATCATGTTCTTCTGTTAATTAAATCTGCTAGTTATTTGATTTAATAATCTAGAAAATTTGAGATTTCCTAAGTTTAAATATTCATTATAGTTAGGTATAGTTGACATACGGTATTTATTTTTGATTAAGCCCGTGACTCCTGTGGTTCGGCAGGTGTCCATGGCCGGTGCTGATCACATACCATCAGGTAATCTGTCTTTTCATTTGCTTCCTATTCCATAAAAAAGTATAATTGTCTCAATACTCCACGTGTGCTGCGTCTTCACAGTTTAAAGACTTTTAATTATTGTGCTTCCATTTATTTTAAGAAGAGACAGAAAAATTAGATGCGATGAGAAATTTTCCAATAAATTTTAATGTTTAATACACCTTACTAACATCTTAAATTAAAAGCCATAATAAAAAAAAATCAAATCGTTATTTTAAATTCGAAGGTTTTGTGACTCTTAGTACAAAGAGGTGTAATTGCTATGCAAATCAAATTTTCAATAAAACTCAAGATCTTTGAGAAGGAAAATGTAAACTAAATTACAGCAGACAGCTGTATTGTATCACGGATGAGAAAGTGAACGGAGTGCTCATCAGAAAAAGTACACTTTGTGTTGTTGAACATAACAGTTCAACAACACAAAATGTTGAAAAATATTGATCGTACAGTAAGACATTATTTTACCCAACCAGTAAAATTATTATTAAATAAATAACTTATTTAACAAACGTATTTTGAACTTTATCATCAAATTATGATGGTCACTAATAAAATAAATTTTAAAGAAGCGTTGCTAAAATTAATCAGATTTATGAAAGGTTTTGTGGCTGGCCGATAGTCTATTGGCATTATCGACATGACTTCTTATTATAAATTGTTAGATGACTTAGGATATTTCTGGTATCAATTCAACTGCTGATATCTCTTAGCTAGCTTTAAATACTTAAGCAACTCACTGAGAATCGGCGTTCCATTCGTTTAATCTATTTGGTGTAAATATGCAATTTCTTTAGGGAAAATGTTAAAAACTATATTTTCAGCGAGCTTTTTATCAGTCTATTAGTTTTTGCTGCATTGTATTTTTGTAGAACTAAAATGTCTGTATCTTTCTCTATACCTGAGTTCACTGCCCAGTTTATACGCTTTTTGCTATTTTGCATTTGATAGATACAGGTTTAAAAGGTTTTCTGTGGGAATTTAAGTGGGTGGAGGATCGCGACCAGAGGATTTAAAGCTAGTGAAATGTTGACTCTTAAGTTAATTTGCATTTAAATTATTTTGTGGATAGACGAAAGTTTGAAAGTCAACCTATTCTTGTTTTTAACTAAGTATTATTAATAAGACATTTATTTATTTGTTATTTTAGACAAGAATTTAATAAAGCATTGAAATTAAGTAAGTAAAAACGAATATTCCGCCTCTGAATTCTCTACAATTTCTCCAATTTCACGATCAAACTTTTTATTACCTATTTGCATAAACTTTTGTGCGTAAGTAATGACTGCAATCATGGCCGCCTTCCTCAATATAATTTACGTCAGATGCCGACATTCATTTGTTTTCTCCTTGTCACTCCAGCACCACGCGTATCCCTTTCAATTTTTCTCTGTCACCCTGACTCTTGACTTCGGGATACAGAGAGCTCTTAACTCACAAAATTGCTCCGTCGGGGGAGTGCTGATTAATAAAGAAAATAAAAATTGTGTGAGTCGCGTTCGAGATGTGATTGTGAGAAGTCACGTTCCAGTCTGTACGAACTGAATCCTGATTTTTATTCAAAGTGAATATGAAAATTTGGTATATTATTTTTGATTGTGACAGGGAAGTGAATGCGAGTTCTTATGATGATTGAATTCGACAATTCAATTATGGAAATGGCTTCACTTTTGCTTGAAATGCAAAGGTCTTTTCGATAATAAGGATACGGACTTAATTTTCTACTATTCGTGTTTGGAATGAAGCACAAGAAACAAATAAAAGAAATGGAGTTACAAAGCCATCATTAATTTTATTGTTGTTCCCGAACAAATGTCTTAATCTTTCAAACAAAATTATACCTTGAGCCTGTTCAAACAGTTATTAGTTTGCGAGTCATCCAACACCTGGTGTGAAATGCAATCAAGTTTAATTATTACGGGTATTAATAACAAGGGTGCACTCTAGGGTGAGTATGAAACCTGTTGTCATGGCAACGCCCTCCGTTTGGACACAGCCTGCGATGCCGCCACGCACAAATACGTGCTTAGTTATTTACGAGTAGAGCTGATTACTCGTGTAATTGTGCAGCCACTTTTCATATGCTCGTAATGATATCTGAAAGGATGTGACGGGAAGGGTAATAAGGTTTTGCTAAGTGTAGATGCTCATGGTTATTTTGCTAAGTAGATGATTGCTTACGATCTTTTGTATTGGACTTTTGTTTTTGTTTTGTGTAATATACTTACTTTAGGTTTGGGTTTTGACAATGAATCTTTTTCGAATCATAGTAAAGATATTATATTATCGCTGAGAAGAGTAAATACGCATTTTATCTTTCTACTTGCTTATTCTAATTCCGATTGTACTGGCTGTTCGGCTCCTATTAATTGTAGAATATATTATATATCCTTGATCTAATTAACAAAAAAGAAGCGAGTAGTTCTAAATGAATTTCTATCACGCAATCTTAAATCTATATATGTATATAAAAAAATGAATCGCAAAATATGTTGGTAAGCGCATAACTCAATAACGCCTGAACTAATTCTACTGATTCTTTTTTTGTTATATGTGTTATTGTCAGGAGAAGGTGCATATTAAAGAAAATTTTAGAAAAGTAGAGAGGAGAGTTGGGTACTAGGGACCCTTTCATTGTAAGCTAGATGATGAGACCCGTGCGAAGCAGGGGCGAGCTGCTAGTATATTATAATTTTTTACATACACGTTACAGAAATTTAAATGAAGTATAAGTTTAAGTAGTAACAAATGCAAACAATATTAAATATTGATCCGACCTATGTTCATATTTAGTTTGTAATTAAATTATTGAATTTTATAAAACTGCTTAGTTCATATTGGGGTCAAACTTGCATAGTCACTGCAATCAAAACCTTATCGTTAAAGTTGGGGTTATAATAATTATGTCCCCCAGTTAATTAAAGCGGGTTAAGTTCATAGTAAAATGTTTCTAATAGTCTTGTAGCCAAATGGTTATCGTACAATATTAAAATTAATGCTTGTTAGTAACAAATTAAGTTTGAAATTCAAATGGAAGATAATGATAATTGTACCTATTGATTAGGGCAAAACTTCGATGATGTTTATTTTATTTTTGCATTAACGTGACTGTTCATTTAGTTAAGTTAGTTTAGTTTACGCTAGCTCTCGCAAAGAATGAGGCTGACTGCTGGAGGGAGCTATCCTCCTCTTCACGCCCCAGCCGCCGCAGTATGCGACACTCCGGGCATCGGGGATCGAGAGAAGATCTGCGGCCTCTGTAAGCGCGGGTATATAGACTGTGAGTAAGGGTAGCTCGCCGCCCGTCCAGAACCAGACAGCGAGTAGCGTTGCGCGCGCGTCTCAATGAGCCAAAAGACCACCGCAGACGGGGCCCTATAGGGCTAATGTTCGGCCGGGTTTACGAGGTAAGCGCAATGAGTCACCGCGGGCTCGGCCCAGAGCAGGAAAAATAACAGGGTTTTTAGTCAGACACTTCATGATTTTCACCTCATAAAAAAAACAGTTTACAAAATTATACAGACGTGGACGCACAAAAAGAAAATCGCTTTAGAAAACGTTCATATTCATTTGTTAATGGTGTAGATATTAGATACAATATACAACCACTTTCCACAGGGGCTTTACAGGTACCAATTAATTAAACTTTTATTGAAGTGTTAAATCTTTGTAGGTGGAATGCTACAATTCATTTGCGACGATTTACAAGCAATTCGCGACTTTATTGCACTGTAAAGCATTTTTAATTGTGCATTTAGATCCTTCTGCTTTGAGAATTCGGTGCAAAGTCGTAAGGAAACGATAAAATCCAGCGTAGTATACAACAGTGAGGTGTTTATTTCAATTAGACTTGAATATTTTTAAATAGCTATTATTCTAAATTGAATTATGTGGTAGAAGTTTTTCGAATATAGAATTTTAATAATATTAAGTACGAAAGTTCGAAAAATCGAATATATCATTTATAATCTTTACGATTAATTGAACTCGATGCTGGATTTATGATATTAATTCAAGCAAATATCATAGCGTCATACAGAACGAGAATCTCTCGTTTACATCAAGAGGTCAACTTACGAGTATCAGCCATTTAATGATGCGTCCTCCAATAAATTGTCTGGTAAAGTACAAGTAAAACAAACAGATAAAAAATTCCTCCAGTTTTAATTAAGCTGGTTTTACAAAGTACAATAAAGTATATCCCGATACAGTTTAGGAATCCTGTCTCAGTACAAAATGATATACAACTGTGATTGTTTAAAATATACAGTTTAAAAAATTGTTTATTCCTAACCCCGCTACACTCAATAAATACGTCAATGATAAAATTGTATAAGGATATCAAATATTTTAAAATATTTACATAAAACGTAAATTTGAATACGAAATTATACTATATCACAGTCACTAGAGAAAGATGAAAACCTAATGCCTACGTTACGTTTTATAGCAGTCTATTTGTAAACACATCCACAAGAACTACAATCTTCGAAAGCCTTCTATTACACCGTCGCGCAACTATACGCCCACATCACATAGGACAGGTTGATTACGTATCGTATAAATGTGAATTGCCAATCATGTTTTATGTAATATTTATTAAAACGAGACTTCTGAAATAATTATTAAAATTACGAGCTAAATAAATATAACTGTTAAAAAAATTTACTACTCAATAAAATTAAAATGTTTTTATTCACTCACTTCCAACGAATTTCATTATTTAATACAAATCGATAAAACAGATTCTGTATTACGCGACAGTGTAACAGGTATCCCACTTTACCTTAACGATCATAATAATGCAAAGACCTTTATACATTTGTACAATTCACACTATAAAGTAATATTGCTTGTATTACATCCTAGTGATATTAATTTACAATTCAATTAACTTCTATATGTATGACCTGAACAACCTGATGTCCCTGAGTGATTTGTAAATGCGTGCATTTCTCGATATGGTGATTCCCTGGAAATTATTGTACACATTAGTGCTACAGCTTTAGTACAAGATTTAACGATCGATATGTTATAAAATTCTTACCGTTCATAAGGCGGCGGAGGAAGAATATCACATAAGTTCATCCTACAATCCTGGTCACTCCTACCTTCAGTAGCATACCTCATTTCTGGATTGGGTTGTCTAAAAGTATTTTCTCTTCCCAACCAATGCCATTGTGGGTAATCATATTCTACTTCAGCCATAGCCCAATCTTTGTGCCCGTCATGATGACTTGATGATCTAGAATTATTTGTTTTACATGATGGACATTCTTCTATGGACATGTCTTGCATTTCTTCATCGTTCCCACATTTTGTCATTTCACTATAGTCCTTTGTAAGAGTGGAACTGCTACTTCGACAGCACGTAGAACATTCTTCATTGGAGTATTGATTGCTTTCTCCATAAGATCTGACCATACTGTTGTCGTACGAACCTGGACTAACAGCGCACTTCATACAGGAATCTTCTGCGTCTGTGTGATCCTTAAAATGTATTACAATTTTAAATGGTGAATCAAATTTAACAATCAGAATTGTGAGATTACAAAATATGAAAACAATCATACCTGATAATTTAACTCAGTATAAATAGCACTTGACGCATAAGGCTCTGGTTGGTGTCTTCTCATTTGACTCTCCTCTGGTATCGGATTCATAACATTTGTATGTTGTGGAAGACTATACTCGGCTTCCATAGCCATAGTACCTATTGAGTGACCACCTGCAAGAACAAAGGACAGTTAATCACAGTTCATATTCACCACACATGCATACTAAACTGATTTGTTATTTTATTCTTACCGTGTAAAAGACTTTGGTGGCAATTTAAAATTTCTATCCTAGGTTCATTTGATCCTTCAAACATTGGCCTTTCTCTTAACCAAACCGCTTCTTTCCCTAACAGACACTGTTGAGCATTAACAATAGCAGTTCCTGAAACACATTTATTTTTAGACCACCTAGATTAACACATCGATTTCTCACTCTATCAAGAATAGATTTTACGGTGTCTTACTCATCTTACCAGTTGTGTTTTGGCTTTTCCTTTGCTTTGTCTGCTTTCTCCTTATATAAACAATGACTCCAGTGCCGACTAGTACTAAAACTAACAAAGTTAGACATAATGCCAGCAGCCAAGTTTCCTGGAACATTGACACTATCGCCTTGTCCGTCGATGGTTCAGTTCTGAAACGAAATGTTTATTTTCATACCGCTAAGTTGAGCTCGCTCAGCTGCAAACAACTTTGTCGGTGAAGGTACTCTTGTAATATCTTATACCAAAGCAATACAGAGATAGACCACATACGTCATTGTATCATATATGAATATAACTACTACAAAAATGAAATTTTTTGAACACAAGTGATTCTAAAATTTACAGATATTTTCTAGAACACCAAAGTAAAGCCGACTTACTGAACATAATGTCTCTGTGTTTGAGTAGGCAACATGTGTATTTGTGCAGGCGCGCTAAATGGGCCGTGTCCACGGCGTGTAACAGCGGCCGCGCGAGCACTGTACCGACCACCAGCGCGCAGTGAACTTGCCGCAGCAGCACGCGTATGAGCACCTAATGACATCTGACCAACTACACGACCACCAGTACTACCACCTACTCGGACTTCAATCTGAAACAAAAAGTTACTTAGGTAAAGTAAAACATGATTATAATAATATTATGTTATTAGAATGCTCGAAAATAGGTATTGATCTATTGTACTAATAATAGAACACCAAAATAAATTAATAATACAAAAATTTATAGAAAGTTATATCCGTATTTTCAACTGACCAAATAACCGGAAAGTTCGCCGTTCCATGTGTGCGGAGGCGGTGGATCCCACCGAATCCACGCTGACGTCGCATTTATCACTCCCGCCGTGACGCTTTGCGGTGGCTCCGTCGGAACTACAACACATTCATAACACGCTATACCTATACCTTGATGTCTTAATTACAGACAACAATTAACATTTGAAAGTCAGAAGGTCACTCACCATCTTCCTCAGTGAAACCGCTCTTCATATTAGAAGGTTTACCCAATAACAATTTGTAAAATGGCATTAGAAAGACATCATATTGAGCATATGGCAATAGACCAGTTAAAATATGACTAGATGAACCACTATTGTGAACGGTGGTCATAGAAAAGCTTTCATATCTTCTAAAATCAGCTAAACTTTCTTTGTATGATACATTGGAATGCTGATAGTCTTCTTCTAAAACGTATTGTCTGTTCATTGAGGTGCCGTTAAACCATATTTTTACGCCTTCTAAATATTCGTTGTAGTCCGTTAGCACCTAAAATATAACCAAACTTTTTATAAACAACATCTCCATAAAGAAGTTCAGTCTAAATAAATGACATTATAGCAATTGTACTAACATCCCACACAATTTTAACAGTAGTAGCAGATAGTCCTTCAACTCTTCTCAAAGCTAAAACATCTTGTTGTAAGTACCGACGAGCTTGAACTAATTCATACTGTGTCATCGGTGGATGATTTTGATGTTTTGCCAACTCAGGATATGTAGAAGAAGATTCTAAATCTCCATTAAATGAATTAGCTTCTCTTCGTAGTACCTAAAAACACAGCGAAACATGGCACGGTGAATAGTTCTGGTCAGAATAAAACAAAACTAGGATTTAAAGGAAAAGTAAGTCTTACTTGTAATGTTGCAGTATGCATAGCACTTCCAGCCGCACTTACAGCGACACACGTAAGTCTACCAGCATGTTGGGTAGTTACTCTATCTAAATATAAGGATCCAGTACCGTGGGTCGATTTTGGAAAAACCAATTCCTGCGAAAAATGAAATTATTTATTTCTTGCGTTAATAAAGATAATTTTGTTGGAAAGTATAATACTTTAGTTTGTACCTGAGATCCTTCCATAGTCCAAAACACTACAGGAGGTGGCGTACCATCAGCTTCACATTGAAATGATATAGCCTCTCCTTCCCACGCGGTTTGATCCGAAGGCACTCGAGTGAAATGAGGTAATGCTACAACAAAATCGAATACAATTTGCTTTTCTATATAAATAAATTATCGTATCTCTAATTTTAGCTGTCATGAAAATAATGCGAGGTTCAATTTTAATAAATTTGTTCTTACAATGGACAGTTAATGTAGCCGATGCGGCACTACTCCCTGCTTGGCTTTCAGCTCTACATGTATAAATTCCGGCATCAGTAGCAACAACACGATCTATTCTCAGAGATCCTCGACGAATGATTGCGTATGGCGATAATGAGCCATTGTCTCGAGACCACGTTACCGACACATCTGATTCTGGTGAGGCCTAAAATTAATATAAACATTGAAAAAAATATAAAACTTAACCTTCGGGAAAGATAACTCATAGAATCTGTCCAAACTAAGCTAATGGTCTTGCTGCGAACAAAAATATTGCAGTTTTTAAGCTCACTGAATAAGCAATATAATTTTCCACTTTATTACCTGACAATGAAACTCAACGTTCTGGCCTATCAAAGCCGTTATGTTATTGGGTTTCACGAGAAAATGTGGTCTGCGTAATACGAGTAATGTCGCAGGACGGGATTGTCTTTCTCCAGCTACATTTGAAGCCACACATCTATATACACCACTGTCTCCTGGAAGACTTTCTAATATTTTGAGATCACCGCCATTTACTATCATAATTCTGAAACGAAAGTTCATTATATAGTCTGGAATGTAATTTAATGAAATAATTGGCTTAACAAACCCAATGAGATCGAAATTAACCAGCTTTACTGAGAACCGTGAATCATTGTAACTTAAATTCAAAACGAAACAGATGCCTCAGGCAGATCGTTAAACAAATAAATACCCACATGTCCAATAAATAACATTGTTTGGTTACTTTCAACATTAAAATATTGACTGTGTTTAACAAGGCAATATTTATGCAAAATGAACAATGTGGTACAGAAATAGTGGACAAAGTTCGAAGACCAGAATTAATTACCTCCCGTTAACTTCTACATCTAAAGTTTGTCCGTCCTTCGTCCAGTGCACGCCCGGGTCGGGTACGCCTTTAGGAGCGGAGCATTCTAGCGTGGCTGGTTCACCACTGGCTACTTTCACATCTCGTGGTTCAACTCTGAAGTCGTCACGTAGAACTAAAACAAAACTTTTCGTGGAATAAAATGAAGAAAAGCCCTAACGAAGAATTTGAATAAAATTGTATAGAAAAATAAAAGGTTTATGGATTTGTAAGCTGATATCTGTATCTCTATTAATGGACAACAGAATAATCTATATGGCTTATCAATCGTCAATAATGTGGTAGACATTCTAAAGTATACAATTACTCCATAAAACCTCGCGAAGATTGCGAGCAAATAAAGATTTCACCCGACCTTTTAGTGGTTTACCGCACAGCGGCATAACCGTCTCTAGTTACATTTGCAAACACTGGAATCAGGTAAATATATTTGTTGAGATCGAATTCATTGAGCGAAAAGGGGATTTCGGTTTATTTTTAGACTTTAACTTGAGTGAAATTGCTTGAATAAGTAGAGCAGAATTATATCGGCCAAAATCAAATTTTTGTTAATTGCTTTCTTGATTCAATTGCAGTCTGGGTAATATGTGCTAATTGAGGTTACTCTTTTCTAAGTTTTGAGTCTGTTACGTATTTGTGATAAAATGTTATTTGGCAGTCTCTAAGCTATTGTTTTCATCATTAGTTCAATAACGTATCAAACAGAATAAGATATTGTTTAAAATAGAAAAGGCCGATTACTCTAAGCGCAGATTATGCGCCTATTATTAATTTAAACACCAATGACTTACGAAATCACCGTAACAACTTACGTACTTACACATACAAAGGCCCTGTTACGTTTTCAAGGATAATTCGAGCCCCACATGCAAGTGCAGTACTTACAGGCAATTTAAACGTACTTACACGCAATGAATCAGTACTTACCAGCGATTGTGAGTGTGGCGTTCTTACTGACCGCCTCGCCGACTGAGTTGCGTGCAACGCACCAGTACACCCCCTCGTCGTTTTCTTTCTTTCCCCGCATAACCCTACAATTTAACGATCAACTCAATATCGGTCATAGTGTACGGGTAGTGTTTTGATAAAGTACAAGTGCCGTCAAATTATAGGTTTGGATATTAAACTTGAATCAAAGGATGTTTTGTTCAGAAAATTACAGTAGAAAACCTAAAGCATGTTTGAGTACCACACTCAAATATTCAGAAAAATATCAACGATTCTTTGACATTTTCGTTATTCTTTTTGCCCCACTAGTTTAGCCATCTATGATCGTACGTGCCTATGTGAATATATCCCTACAGCGCGTCTAGACTGTATCGATTTTGACTCATTTAGTGTCTCAGCCTAATTTGTATTCACAGCATATGAAGGATAGGTTTGTTAACGGAATTTGGAACATACGCATGCAATTAGTGTTACAGAAACTGAAATATTAAATCATCAGCCTTAAAATATGTTAAGGCAAAATAACAAGCTACAATAATTAGTCGTTTTAAAAATATCCATATTATTATTATTAACAACAGAAGAACAAAACTCTTTTAAACCAGTCCAGTTCATACGCGAGCTCTGTTTGGTCGTAAGCTTTTTATGCGGTGTCAAGACAAGGCGTAATAAAACACCATGTACTTTAGTTTTTTTTCTGTCTCTAATTAACACAACAATAAAAACTCCGACCAAATTAGTCTGGCTGTTTTTATGAAAGAACACGCGAACCACAAAGAGAAACAAAATGTGTTTGTTGTCAAGGACTCTGGACTAAAGAACAGGCGACTTGTTCATTCTGTGAAGTGTATGACAGATTTTTTGGATACTATACGGTTTTATATGCAGCTGTTATTAATGGAGTTCACGAGTTTGGTGCTATGTATGTACTCATGTGAAATAACTAAGAAAAGCTGTACTAGTAACGCGACGTCGTCGCCGCGACATGCACGCTGCTCATGAATAAAAGTTCAGTTGACTTGACAACTCTACAAGTAGTTTTGTTGGGTTTGTTAGGTACAGACCCATGAAGAAATTACTAAATGTTTAACAATTTAGTTCCTTATAATTAAATAAAAACCCCTAACTCACACGTACAACTAGAATGTCTTGATATATTGTAAGGACATATAATAATAAACTAACCTATTCTTAAGACCTGTACTAACCTAAATATTTATCATAATTTATTATTCACGTTTCATTCAAGCCGTTTATTGTGCATGCGGTGTCAGCCTAGTTGATATGTATATTGTATATATAATGTTCTTATTAGTGTAAACAATTGTTGGCTAGCCTATAATAAATAAATAAATTAAAATAATACTATATTACCCATATTCCAATAACCATATTTAATAAACTTTACTTATGAATACTACCATCCATGAAAAGTTTCTGTGAGCTCGGCAGCCGGCGGCTTTTGTACGACCGCCATTATACTAAGTATATTATATTAATTCCACTTCGTACCTTCATATTATTATATATTATTGCTTATATTATATTACATATACGAGTACTTATAGCTAGTATACGGTTATTCTTCCTTCTATAATAATAACCTTTGTACCTTTTGTTGTACTTATAATGAAAGTTCGGCGCCGCTATGTCTGAAGCATTAATATGAAGAGTAGTTTAGTATTCTATTTTATATGGTGAAGCAATGTATAATAATAAAATAAATAGTGTTAATATTATTTCTTATTTTGACAATGCTTTTGGTGATATAATTCGCTCTATTATACGTATCGAAATTATGGCCAACCCCGTCATGTAGAGGAAACTGTCACTTTTTAAATTTTGTTTAACTTGTTATTGGCCATTCAGAAGCAAAAACAGAAATCATTGTAATAATATTTCTTTTAAAATTAGAATATTTTGAATTAAAAAAAATACAACTAACAAAAGTGTGCCTTAATAAGCATTCTCTTATATTGTTGATCAAAGACAATTTAATGTGTTAAAAAAATGTTTTTTATGTTTTGGTCAATTTTTATAATATAAACAAAAAAGAAATAGATTTCTTCCCAGTACAGTTCGTAGCTTTATATTGATTATAATATTATGCAGGTCGTTAGATCGTGTCACTCGCATTGTTTGAATATTTGAAATGTCTAGCTTCCAGCCGAGTACTAATGAAATATATTTCCGAATGAGAGGAATATCACCAGATGTAAGTAGAATCTCTACCAGAAATAGGTACAGACTTTATGTGTGTTAATAGTTTATCGTCTATAATGTAAGTTGTATCTTCCATGTGTTTTAAATTAAGAAGAATGTTAGAACGACTGTCACATAATATCCTATTCTATGATTAAAATTTGGTATGTTTCTTAATTTTTGTACGCACTGGCATTATTATGAATTACTTTGAAATGGTTCTAAATGGAAATCTGTTAGGTAATTATTATTCTTAACGAAACAATAACAATATACCTGCCTAATGTAAGTAATTTAAATACCTACCTAGGTAAGTATATTTTATTTTCAGTTTCCCCGCAACCTGGATTTAATTTTCCTCGAAATGATGAGTAAGGAACTTTTACTAAAAAAGGTAATACCCATGCTAATTAATTGGTTATAAAATGCATTTCTGCTTTAAGTACTTGCAGATGTCCAATGTGCAACATTGACATCAACCAGGTGGTGTTTTTAATAACCATCCCGTATAGTACAAAAATAAAATTACACCTGCATGCAGCTTTAAAAATAAAGACGCTCCCTTATAATCGATATATTTATACCTATATAACCTTTGTTCCAAAATAAATAAATTCAATTATAACCAAAAACTAATAAGTGTATCGTAGAATTCGCCCACAAATTATATAAAAAAAATGTATTCGTATTTCTGATTTTAAAGCGCAGATTAAAAAAGACATCGGCCGACGGCACTCGTAACGTAACAATGTTTTTTTCATAATATACTAAAACAACAAAAATAAATAAAAGGAAAATGAGACTTAAGTATTTTAAAAACTTACCTGAGGAATAGTAGTCCATCTTCAAGGAGTACTCTATGTGGGTGGTCAGTAGGAGCAAGCGGGGATCCATCTTTGTACCACTGGATTGAAGGCTTGGGTTTCCCTTCAGACACGCAGCGAAGAGTGGCTGGTTCACTCCTACCAACTATTGTGTCAGCTGGGTGCTCCTTTATACGCGGAGCCCGACTTTGAGCTTAAGAAAAAAATAATACAACCGTAAAATAACACTCTATAAATTATTTATAAAAAAAAGAATCGCTTTATTAAACGATTAATTTTCTGCGAGACCGTCCGATAAATTATTTTTTGTCGACTTCATTTAATAATTAGTCGCACGAAAAATTAATATTACAACACGAATAAAATATTAAACCACAATTTACAACCGTTAAATAATTAAAAATAATTAGTCAACGTTCTTGCGATTAAGATATAAATCAACTAATCCAAATCTATAAACCTCTAATATTTTTTTTTTATTACAGAACAAACATTAATTTTAATGAAGTGTCAAATGATATAAATAATTTATTGCAAAGTTTATAAGCGAAGCGATAGTATTTAATAAAAAAAAGTAGGCAAAAAAATTTGAATGAAGAAACAGGTACGAATCCAAAAAATTAAATGTAGGTAATTAATATTTAAAAAATTTAAGCTTAATTTTTATCGCAAAACTACTTACCTACTAATATAATAAATTGTTAATATTTTATTGACTTACCTTTTATGACACATGGCAAACATAAGACTAGATACAAAATCACTATACATTTGAACTTGTTCCATCCTATATTATCTCTTTTAATTGGACCCGCGGTCATGCTTGACACAACTACTGATTAACGTCACTTCGCACTTTACACGGCATAGTTTATAATTACACTTGAAAAAAATCACTCATTCCCATTTTTATTTATAAAAAGTCATATTATAATTAATGGTTTTGCGATCATAACATGGTCGGCAAATTGTTTATAGTTTGCGGAGATCGCGATGTATTCGCGCCGCGATGCGACACAACCTCCTCGTCTGGCGATATTAGGGTTACTGCCCCCCACTCTAGTTTGTCATTTCGCGCCGACTCAGTAACGTGCGGCTTTTGCATACCACCGAAAGCACAAGGAAAGCTTGATGATAATGATTTTCGCATTGCAACTGCAATAATTAGTATATTTAAAAAAGTTTTACTGATTCTGTCATTTATTTTTAATGCATCTGCTGCTTTAAAAGGTTATGTTGTCATTTTATTTAAGTTTACGGATGCCATATGTGGAATAATGTTGCTATTGGTTTCGGTTAATTTGGAATGTTCAACGGCAAAATCATTTTGGAAATTCGAAATGTTGAAGAGTTTAAAATATGATACTGTAAAAACGTATAATATGACTAAATTGTTTTTAAACAGACTTCAACTGTATGCTTCAATGCATTGTATGCATGCATTTTAATTTTGTATGCATTTATGTCCACTAAATATTGAACCAAAAAGATAAACGGTATTATGTGTGTAAACATAGATTGCCTTTTTTGTGTTACTACAGATCATAAAAACCACTTTCTCTTACCAATTTATAAAGTATTTTATGTTAAAACATTTTGCGAAAGTATTCTCTTATAGTAATAGCATGAACTACAAACATTTTCTAACAGAATATTCTACTACGCTTCGTAGCAAAGGCTACTACGCTACGCTACGAGTCTACGTAATTTTATTAGCAAAAAATATTGGCTGCAGTCAGATTGAAATGAAACTATTGGTCGATTCTATTATTATTATGCGGTATTCTTTGATTACTCAATCTGTTTTTATTCTTTAGAAATTGTTTCTACATATTATTTTCTTAATACGAAGCGTAAGCATTTAAACTCAGTATCTATTATAACCAATGAGTTTTCCTATTTTATGTGAAAATTGGGATAAAAAAAACCCAAAGGCATAATATCTCAAGTTTAATCCATTGAATTGATCAGCTTTCTTTTCTCTCCATTTCCTTTTCATTAGAAAAAATCTTAACGGAAATAAGAACTGGAAGAACTTGTACATACGGCATACAATATTATAATAATAAGACATCTTCTAATTAAGACGTCCTAGCGTCTTTATTACAAAATAGACGCTTATTATTAAAATTTGAACCAATAAATCATTTTAACAAATGGCATGACTTTACAAAAATGTTGGTCATCGAATATTCCGGGTATCCGTATCTACGGCTCGCAAGTAGGTCACTTGCAACAGCTGTTACCATCGTTAGTCCGTAATACCGAGAATCCAAAGATAAAAAATTGGTTCTAAGCTTGGGATTCTAGCGTGATTTTTGATAAATACAAAACTTTATGTGTTTCTGTTTTGTTTTGGTATTATTCTAATTTATGTTTTGTTACTTTAGGTAATGTTTTGTAAGTCTTACAAGATTCTTGTAAATTTTACTTCACATGGTATTGCTTATCTATAGTTATATTATTTCGTTTGTCAAAAATGGTCCTCTATTTTAAGTTATATTTAAGGAGGGCAGCGTCCTCATGCTTTAAAACAAAAACGAGGGAAAACATTGAAGCTGCTTTTTACATACAATTTCAAAACATAAACAACCCGACATACTCTTAAAAATGTTGCTTTAACTCCAAAAATAACAAACGCTGACTGAACTCTCTTAATTCACTTCCACCTGCTTCCTAGACGGAAACACAGCAAATCCCAAAACAAATAAAATATTAGCAATAGTGTATACTGAGATTAGCTAGCGTCGATTCTGCACACGTGGCGGTCTGAACGTGTCAATTGGGACTCCTAGCACATGCCAGTCATGTATGTTGCCTAACTGTTTGGCGGTGACGACACGGATAGAGATGATGGACTAGATAAGAAAACAAAATTTATGCAGTGTCGATTTTATCTTGATGGATTAGAAAAGTTTACAAAGCCGCCAAAGAGTTTCAAGGTCATGTTTGAGTGATGTCTGTATTTAAAAAAGAGTGTCTGTCTTAACTACATATTTGTATTTTGTTTGCATATCGCACGCCATGTACCGCCAGACGCCTTACGTAGAAACAAAAAACCAGGCCAATTATTTGCTTTACAATGTACAAGGTAAAAAAAATGTAGGTACTTACCTTAAAATAAAATTGAAACCGTTGGTCATTTTTTTACAAATTGAATGCTGCAGTCATCTATATGTATAGCTCAATTATGGAGACAAATGTACAATTTGCAATACACGTTCTGCAGAAAATAACATGAAAACAAAATAACTTTTTGTTAATTGCTCTACCAAAAATCCCCATCATTTATTTAATTGGCAATGATGCCCAGTCGAGTCCTTAATTAACTTCATCAACTGAACATTTATTACTTCCCGATTTGTTCATTCCGCTGGTTTTATATCCGAGTGTTTTCCTGCGTCAGTCTGAATGTAATCAAGCCGTGGCCGGGACAAAGGAGGCGTCCTTCATTAACTTCGTCCTACTAAAATATTCATTAACCGTAGTTAGTTGATAAGTATAGGATTAGGTCGGCTTAGGTAAGAGATTTTGGCGTCAATTGGAATAAGCTTTCAATGGTATATTGATTTAATTTGGTTGATATTTACCATCAGGGGTTTTATTTCTGGGACCTTTTTGATCCTTTCTCGTACAAATCAAGCATCATCCTGAATTCCTGATTGTTGTTTCGTTGTAAAAGTAATATGAGGGCAAGTATTTTAGAATTTTGTAGTACCATATCTTGAAAAAAAACACTAATCTTTTCCTAATAGTACAACCAGATCATCATAATTTAGGAAATAACAGTTGCTATAATATATTTCTATATCACTCTTAAGAATGACAAAACATTATCACATTACAGATTTGTTCATGTGTAAAACCTAAACATCAGAATATGTCATCAAAACAAGATAACTTTGGACACCATAATGAATATGAAGACATTATGTAGATGTTACTTAAATTATAATAACGAATAATATAGTATGCATGAAATACCAAACACAGTAAACCACCTTGAAACACAAAACACAACGCTCATCAAAAAACCATCAAAAAGTTATGGCCATAAAGACAAAGAGCCCAATACTCTTCCCGGATACTATAAAGATAAATCCTCTATGTGATATTTACTTCCATGTGGTGCAGATGCGGGTCACGTAGTGCAAGGCTCTGGAGTCAGGTGAGGCACGATACAGATCGTAGACACGTGCTCGACTCACGACCAATCGTTTGCAAGCAAAAGCAAAAACTGCGCCGCATTTAGCTCAACCGAATGTATTGCACATTCGCTTATCTTAGAGTTGACACGAAATGAATACGTAGCGCGACTTATGAATATTAGATCTCCGACAGGCGTTTGTCATTTTTGAAAGTCAAACATGTATATAGTAAGTTAGACTTATAACCGGGTCAGCTTAACATTCGTATAAAATATAAAGATACCTGATAAAACAGAGTCCAAATTGAAATATACTGGAAAAGCCATGCTAAATATGGCAGATCTATGCAAGAAAGGTCCCGCTCGACAGGAGTGATACCACGGCCTCACAGAAAACCAACGTGAAACAACCACAGCGTTGTGTTTCGCCATGTGAGTGAGGTTATCGGAGGTCGAATTCCTAAATCTTAGAAACCCTAAACCCCAGACAAGCACGCTCTCGTAACTCCTCTAGTGTTTGCCGTCCTATCACATGAAAAGTAACACTAATTTTTCAATTAGTATTGATTTCATCTTTTCTTTCTCTTGAGATTATTTCTCTACAGTATTTTACAAAATACTGCATTGCTATAGTAAGTTTATGATCAAGAAAACCGACGTGAATCCAAGGAGATCTTATTCCCTCACCCTATTGCACCCTGCCGCCTGTCCCCTAAAAGATTGCACCGACTTATCTTTGGCTTTGCAGGCATTTTGATGTATCGCATTTAATACATTACCTTGCAGTAACAAAATGGCTTAGAAAATTAAATTATCAATAAAATTATAAAATAACATCTTTTTTTCAATAAGTAGGGCTACAGTAATAAAATTAGTTGCAAACGCGTTTTAAAGTCAGGTATACTGAATAAAATATTATTAACCGAATCAACTTTAACCCTATACTTGGCAGAGATTTTTTTTTCAAATTTTTTGTAAAAAAATGACATTATTGTGTTCCTAGGTGATCACTGGAAGGGCAAAAAATAATAAAAAAATATATAATTGTTTAGTTTACGTTTTATTGTATGTATCACATAAGGCACATTACCATGTTCATAACAATCAATAGAAAAAATACGATGTATCATATTTGACACATTGTCAAGACAAGGAAAAATAAAAATAATGCAAACTCTTTTTCTTAATCAACAAGGAATAGGAAACTTCTAAAAATCAACATAATTATCGGTCTCAACAATCAGCCTTTAAGTCTTACCTAATTAATGAGTCTTATTTATCAATAAAATGAGATCAATTTTATAAATTACTACTTACTACGTACGTATACATATCAGTCTCAAGAGATTCTTTTTAACAGTAATTATTAGTTTTTACTTCTTAGTGTGGTACTCTAAAAAACAATTACGATCGGGCATTAAACACAACCGTATTTCACATTTTTGACAAAAGAACTTCGTCTGTCCTTTTGTGCAGTACATACACCTTCCCCTGGTAATTATTATTTTGGGATAGTGACCAATCTGGTCATATCGCTCAGCATCTGGGGGTCTTTCAGCTACTGGTTTCTGTATCGTAGCTATTGAGTTGGAAGAGAGTCTACCGATATCGCTCGTCTTAGTTCGCTCAAATTTGCGTAAGCTTTCTAATATTTCTATGGTAAATGTTTTTAGTGACTTCTGTTTTTTGGTATTATGTCTAGCTTTCATGTCACGCCGATATAAAAGCCAGGCATTATTTACGCAGATATCTAGCATTTGTGAGAAGATTGGCAAATACCAGCGATGGCCTCAGAACGGCGTACGATACAGAGCAACCAGCATATCTGCTAGGTCTACTCCACCCATATTAGTGTTGTATTGTTTGATTAGGTTTGGGCAAGTCACAGGAATGTTTCTTCCTTGATCTTTGTTTTAACGAGACACAGTCTGGATAGGATGAGCGTCTACAAATGTGCTAGCAGCTGTAACACATTTGTTATCATACCATTTAATAACAACAATCTTATTTTTATTGCAAACTACTTGTGCGTGAGATCCTCTGCCTTTCTTTTTTAAATTTTTATCAGTAGGTAGTTTTTTCTCCGCTCCTCGAAGCCTGTTTGCTCGTATTGTTCCCAAGGCGAATACGCCGTATTCCTCACGCAAATATTGCAGGAGCTCAATAGAAGTGAAGAAGTTGTCGAAGCATAAGATTTTGCATGCAGGTTGGTGAATAGACTTTGTCAAAGCTAGCACAACTTTCGATCCTAGGCCCATACTATTTTCTTCATCAGTGAATTCGTGAAACCTAAATGTGTCATCTCCTCCGTAAATTAAAAAGTCGTACACTATTCCTGAGACACCAGCACGCAATATCATTTGTCTCAGTATCATCATCTGATAATAGATGGAGGTTTTCTATCAAAGATGGTAATGAGAGCGGTGATGAACTACTGTCGGAGTTCGCTGGGCCTGCGTAATACTGGAGTTCATCTCCCGATGATTCACTTTCATCCAAATCAGATTTTGCTCCCGGCTTCGGTACAAGAGCCACAAGCTGTCGAGCTCTGTTTTGTTGCTGCTTAGTTAGTTGACCAACTACCTGCAATGATAAAATATAAATACTAATTCACACCTCTGGCGATGTCATATATTAGGTACATAGTTAAAAATATCTATAATATTGGTTATCTGGCAATGTATCACATCTGATACACTCGAAAAAACCAGTGAATAAAATATATTTACAATCGATTTTGATCAGTCAAAATAGAATACCGACTAGTAAAATATTCTAAGCTACTCAAATTATATCACTTACGGTTAAAATTATTGCAAAATACAATTAAAAATCTTTTTTTTTTACCTTGCGATGTGTAGACGCGTTCGCTCTGTTCGCTATCTGGGGTTCTACTGCTTTCTCAGTGTTGCTAATAGTGAAACAACATATTTGGTAGAAATTTAATAATATTTTGCTTCCCCACAAATGATAAAAGTTTTAAAAATATTTCTAAGTTTGTGCCTAGATTTTTTAAAAGAACAACGTACTAAATTGTATACAGTGCCAAGAATAGGGTTAAAGTTACTTTACAATATAAAATCGCGGCGCTAAAGAAATAAATTCTCATTCGTATGAAACAGGTCAGTATCGGGCAAGCGCCTCGGGGTCCACTAATTCAATCAATTGGCCTACCATAAATAAAACAGCCGACAGTTCGCGATACTCTGCTCCACACGTAATTGAGAAGCAAGAATATAGACGGCTTCAAGCGACAAATCAATTAAGCTCGAAGGAGATAAAAAGGATGCATCAATAATTTATTTTGAAATAAATGAGGCTCCATCTGATACATCTACATGATACGGTAATGTAAATTTTACGATAAAGATTAAGACGCGTTGGACTCCCGACATTTATTTTCTGCAATGGTAAATAAATGATTTCTGTTAACACTAATGCTAGAAACACGATTATCTGTATTCTCTCGAGAATTGCCACAAGCAATTAATAGTCCGCCCATACTGGTATTCCATTTAATCTATTAACAGTAACACTTAGCGAAGTGGCTCGAGTTGTATATAAATAAAATAAAACAAATCAAAATAAAAACAAACAGGAAATTAGATACCAAAGCCTGGAGGGGCTTATGGAATAATCCTTGTTTTTGTTAAGGGTGCCTTGCCAACAAATGGAAGTGACAGTGTCTACACTAGAAAATTAATCGTGAAAAATCTCTTGAAGCGAGAGGACGTTGGGGATAAAAGGAACAGCCGCTAAATCGCGCCACGTGCGCTGTCTATTAACAGTTGACACTATTGGGCTAAAGCCAAAGGGAGATCAGTAAACACGCTATAAACTTTCGGTATAATTTATTGTGAAGTGTCTATAGATAGGATACGCTTATTTGAGCAGCAGCTCCTTGATCTAAAATAGGTGAAAATGATTTCGTATTCAGCCGAGTGTAACAATTTGTAAGTATATTCTAACATTTATTGGGTGCACGTTTATCGCAACTAGATGTGTACGAATCGGTATGCCTCGAAATTATTATTTATAAATTGAAAATTAATATTGATTTGGATTCATCGCTATTCTAATTGTCATTGATTACGCATTGAAATGTTCATAAATACCATTTTTGAAATCGGACCGCATCTAGTAAGGCACACATAAAAAGCTAGCTCCATGATTTGTTATCGATACTTATAGGTATACATTACTTGCTATCGTAGCGTTCAATGAGTAACAAATTATACGAGGTCTACCGCAAGGCGTTGTTATCTCGCGCCAAACCGTCGCTCTTGTGCTCCCCATTGCTGTAGGCTTAGCTTATCGTAGTTCAATTTGGGGAGTTTTTGGTTTTAGACATTCGCATAATACATGGTCTTTGATAATTATAAGAATACCGATTAATCTACACAAAGAAATATTGATTTTATGTAAAAAAATACTAATGTGTTCATTCTGAAGAGAAAAAATTAAATCGTTACTTATAAAATTATTATACTCAATTAAATAAAGTAAACTGTGCCAAACCTTGAAAAACATCAAAAAATAAGTATTCTAAGCTAGAGACAAAAGGATAGATGAAATGCAGAAATGCACCCGCAGGTGCCAATAGATCACAAGCTCCATAAGCTTATACAGCCTATATTTTTTATAGTCTCTCAACCAAACTGACGCAGATCTCATCAAAATAAACAACTTTTGTTCTACAACTTGTGAAAACCAAGGAGTTTGGGTTCACTGTAATAAAAAATATTTACAAACTTCCCCTTTCTCTCGTGATGCAAATTTTGCTCAATGTACCAAAAAACTGTTCAATTTCTTCCACAATTCCATTTCGCGCATATTGCTGTTCTCAAAAGTAATACGACAAACATTACAAATAAATTCAAAGCTCTGTTCTTTGTTCTCTTTCGCGATATAACGAACGAGTCATAAATTCTGCTTAAATGAAACAACTTTTTTAAGATAAATTGCAAGATTTGTTACCGAGCAGTGGGCACAATGAGTAACAAATTGCACTAGAGATACACCGCGCTTCGTTTATCTTTGCAGTAGCAGCGTCCGTGATGCTCTCCTGTTACATGGGATATTGTGTATCGGGTTTCGAAATAAAACAATAGATGGAATACCGAGGCAGACTTCCCACAGTGCATTAAAAAGTTAATTAGCGTTTTATTTCTAGGTATTTATTTACTGGATTGAAATCTGATAAGCAAGCATCTTGGTAATGTGTTGAGCAACGCCACCTATCGGGTTTGTTTTGAATTAATAAGACAATGGTCGGTGATAAACTCATTTGTGGACAACACATGTAGATCTTTCATTATCAATTTTATTATTGTGTTTTAATATTGGACCACTGGGAGCCACTGGATGCAAATTGTTTTTAACAGGTTTAGAAATTACGGGGATATGCAAGAAAGACGGAGAAGGTCCGTTGCAGACCTGAGGGCAGTGGCTGATGATGATAATAATGATACACGTAAATCTTGTGTTCTTAAATCGATTTGATTATTGGTTTTAACTTATCCTTCAATTCTTATTTTACCAACCTAAACAAACTTGCTATGAAATTATACACAACTTCTTATTTTATTCCTGTAAGTTTAAATGATAGAGGTGGATGTATTATTATTAGCCCTTTAGAATTCAAATAAGTGAAGTCCTTTGACAATATTTTTAATCATATTCACAACCACAAATCACACCACTTCATATTCTATAAAGAAGAGCATAAAAGTGAATGGCTAGAAGTAATAGCTGCGTCGATTCCCCATACGATAACGGACTCCCCTAAACACACACTCCTCGCACATTTGTCCTGTCCTTATCTGTGACAAACAGTTAAAAAAAAAGCGGAAGGCAATTTTTTGCTTGCATTTTTTGCAACCTTACAGTTCGGTTGTTGGTGTAATATTATGCCTAGTTAGTTTGGTGTTTGTACATCGGAGAAGAGGCATACCTCTTCCGAATATTGGGTAGGCCAGTTATTGTTGTTTGTAATGAATAAGGATTAACACAAAGTATTTTGAAAAGCAATTCACTCTTACGATGTGGATTTTTAGAAAGTATATGTATACATACTTTATCGTGATAACAGTTCAAAATCCACATCAGTCATCTTTCCATTAAAGTTCTGAAGCATATCTTTTTTCTAAGATAAGCATTATCTACAAAACGTACGACTATTAGGAAAATGTGATCCAGAATTATTTTCAGAAATAATTTCAACTGAATTTATACAAATGTGTGCCTTACTCCTCGAACAATACAGTCAACTTAATTTTACGTGGAAGTCTTTTGTTTTCTGCTACACTGCGTAAATTCAAACGGCAATAGTGAGATCGTATTACTGAGTAAATGCGTTAGCAAACGTAGCTCCAATAATAGTCAGCTTAAGTCAGCAGGAAAGGAAGCTTCTACAACTTTATGCGTCTTTTACTATTATTTTAATATCGTTTGTAGAGATCTTTTCTGATGATTTATTTAGCAAATGTTTCCTTAAATGTTAACTGTCCAAAAAAAATGTCATGTTACGAAGAATATGTTTTTATGCATTCAAAGAAAATAAAGATCTATACATACATATGTACTTGTGTTCTGTCTTGACCGTTAATATTATATATGTCATTTGACCATGATATTTTCTTGGCTACTACATTAACCTTTTCATCGTGATAATTCGAAACACAATAGAAGAATAATAGGGTCGCGAACACACAGTTCGCTTTTGATTATATTTTATTATAAATTTGCGTTCTCCTCACATAACATAAGTGTGAGAGAGCCAAGCTTTGGCACGAATGGGTCGGCTCGACCGGAGTGATACCACGGCCTCACAGAATACCGGCGTGAAACACCCAAGAGTGTTGCGTTTCGCCGTGTGAGTGAAGTTACCGGAAGTCCAATCCCTTCCCTTCCCCTATCACTTCCCGATCCTTATATCCGCAACCCCTATCTCCAAAAGGCCGACAACGCACTCGTAACTCCTTTGGTGTTGCGGGTGTCCATGGGCGGCGCCGATTGCTTGCCATCATGTAATCCGTCGGCTCGTTTGCCGACTTATTACATAAAAAATAAGGATTAGGGATTTGGAGATTTAGGGATTGGGGAAGGGTCCGGGAAGGGGAAGGATTGGGCCTCCGGTAACCTTACTCACACGGCAAAACACAACGCTGTGGTTGTTTTCATTTTTTCGTTTGCTTACTTATACCATAAAAAAAAAAACAAAAATAACGTCGCGCGGCGCTGATTACTTATAGGTACTTACTTCATGTGACCAGTCAGTTGATTTGCCTTCTTTTACACAAACAATGTACAGCTAGCTGCAAAAAAAAAACAACTTAAGAAACAGTACTCACAACTGTCGTTACTAGTCCAAAAAGATAAAATTTTATATTTGTATCATTACTTCACACTCCCAGCATCATGCAAACATGCCACAAAATTTTATGGGATTACTTTAGATAGATGAGGGCATTAGAGTCTGTTGTCACCAAATGTATGCCACCCCTTTTGCCCCAACAGTCGTTACGGGAACGAGAGTCTTTTATCAAATGCCACACTGCTATAATACTTTTGAAACTTCTGCATTTCCTGGCATTGTGTTGACTGGACACGTATGTATTTATTGGCTTAGTTCTGTCGGCACGATGGAACAGTTTCATATACTTACTACGTTCGTCCTTGTTATTGTTTAAAAGTTTCGTCCTACATTTTTATTTGTGGTTTGACAGGATTGTTGGCTAGTATAGTAATATGATATTTAATCAATCGAGAGTTTTATTATGCTGAGCTATTGAAATAAAAACGTTTAGATGTTTACATGAGTGGTTATAAGGTGATTGGTATTAAGTCATCGATATTTAAACATACACACCATATATAGCAAAAACACCTTTCTCAAAGAAACTTTTTTCTTGACTCATTACTTTTATTTTTATTACAACTTCTACAATCAGCCATGCTTCTGTGATACCACCTCTCACCTTGTTTTGTCATGTGAGCGGGTTTACCGGAGGCCCTATTTTTCCCTCCTCCCATCCTCAATCCTCAAGTCCCCCATCCGTAAATCTAGGGATTTAATAACCCACAATGGGCCAGTAATGCACTTGTAGTAACTCCTTTGGTTCTACGATTGTCCATGACTTGCGCTCATTCCTTAACATTAGGTAATCCGTATGCTCGTTCGTCAAAAAAAGGAAAAAAACTTGCTCTCTGCTCTCTTCGTAAAAAACACATCGACTAGAGAGTAAAGTTCCCTGAGATCAGAAAAGGAGGATCTTTCGACCAGGCGAGCTCATAATGCCTAGTTACTCGCCGCTAAAATAAAATAAATAAAAAATATTATTAATCGTGCGCACAGTTAATTTCGACAAAGACGATGTCATGAGTCGGCTCTTAATCGACGTCTTCGTGACTATTATGTATAATATAATTATATATAATATCGCAATACATTCAGATTTTAATAATATTATTATGTGCATAGCAAAATTAGGAATCCCATTATTCACATACCATCTTTCTACAAATCGAGATTGTGATCAATTATAATATTGTTCTTTTTTTACTTTCAAGTATTGACTGCAATTTTTGTGTTTAAAAATCAATAATAATAATGAATAGGTATTCTTTACGTAACACAAAACATAACAACAAGTCTTTTAACATAAGCCTATGGAAATCTGTTAACTTAAAATCACACATCCATCTGGAGCAAGTGTGGCGATTAATGCCCAAACTTTCGGCAATGGAATCTTATAAGCTGATAATGTGTGATGTAAAAATGTATGTGATAATGTATAACAATTAAGAGATTGTATTTATAAGATATTGAATAAAAAGTAATCAGATTTATTAAAATCTCTTTGCTTATCGAATTTTATTTAATTATTGAAATTAAAGGGAAATCTTATATTATAAATTGCAAAAGGATAAACCTGAAGATAAACAGCGAAAATGTCAATACCTAAAACTCTTTATCCCATAACAAAGATGTGTAGATTTCTTACTTTCAACGTAACCCAAAAAAAACTTTAAAGTGAAGTAGTTTTTCCTCATTCCCTCTCGCCCAGCCCTCTCCCTTACCCAGGCTAAAAGAAGTCCATTATGATTCAAACATCTATCAGTTATTTACTAGGTATCGCCAGACTTAATTAAAATTAAACATTCAAAACCTATTTTTTTACTCCACAACAGTTTTAGAATATTCAACTGTCTAAAACTGGTAACGAACAATTTGGACAGGACTCAAACAAAACGATAAACTGTTCACAATCAGATAAAAGCAAACGAACACTTCGAAAACTCAACAATCAGTAACATATACCGAATAAAACTTTCTAATAGAGACGTACAATGTATCCGTAAACGGAACCATTGTTCGAAAATATCGATTGGTAGCCGATGGTAGACAACGACTTTCATAAAACAGGGAGTAGATTGTTTCCAACATTTTGCCGGAAGACGGGGAATGGATTCGGACTAATACATACCCTTCCTCACGGACCCTCGCATAAAATATATGACGCCGTGTCGGTCCGATTCCTATTGTCTAACTGGCTGCGTGCAACCCTTCCTTATTAAAGATACGAAAGTTTTATTCCGTAGGTGTGGACTTGTTTGATTAAATTTTGTTCGTAACACGATATTTTAACGGCAACTTAAAACGTTTGTCTTAGTAATTTGTTTGGTTGAGTTTAATTCCAAGTATAATTTGTTTATTTTCATTACCATGGATCGACTACGAAAGTCCCCGGAAGTCAGTTTTGTTTGTTGACCCTGTTAAATCCATTTTCATATCGCGTCAATGATGACTGCTATTCGCGTTTTTATCAAACTTTTCTCATTTTCGCGAAAAATCCCGAAAGATCACAATATTTTTTCAAGAAAGAATCCTTGCAAACTCGGGAAGACGTAAATTTGACGACTTTATTTAACGAATCATTGAGTTTTCAAACAGATTTTTTCTGTGATTGATTCTTAATCTTTATTGTAATAGAAATACAATAAAACATTTTTATTATATTTTTATAATTTTAAAGTAAACAAAAAATTCTACAATCGTTGTTTAAGTAATAAAATTATTAAAAAAGCTATAGCGTAAGCTTATATATATAACAGGATAGGAAAATAGAGTTTTATACCTTTGAATATCGTTAATTCGATTTAAAAATACAAAATATTGTTCTTAAGTGAAATAAATGTTGCACATTGTTTACTTCAATTCGAAAACCCTACTAATGTTATAAAATTTAAAGTGTGCAAGTACGTATAAACTATTTTTGTTTCTCGTTAAAAATACCCTTAGTCAACACATGCCAATTTTTTTCCCGATACTACAAGCAAAGCCACTGGAAGAGACCAGTGTTTTCATATTTCTTACTGACCTCACCTTCGATTTTATTGTAATCTTAACTCATTCTTTATTGTTAGAGACGTCTCAGTTATTGAATCAAATCCATTCATTCTGATCTCAGCCACAGAGCATCAACGTCGCTTCATTTTTTTTTCTTTTTTTTTACATAATGAAATTTGTTCTAGTTTTATTTGCTTGCCTTTTTGTGATAGTTACATGTGACCATTTGATATTGGGGAACACAAATAATAATCAGAATATGATATATCATACTACAGCACATTATGCTGCGATACCGTTTATCAAGAGAGTGAAGAATATTTTCTATAGTGGAAATGCGGTTATAAATGTAAGTTTTGTTTTGTAATTATTTGTATAATTGTATGTATTATTTTATAAGGTGCATACTAAAAAAAATGTCCAACGTTTTTAGCAAAGTACAATTTTATTGTATACCTATCGGAAAATATTATTGTAAAACATGTGATTGGGGTAATTACTAGAGATTTGAGCAAACCAACGACAGGGTTATCAATAATTTTAATTTTAAAAGATTAACGTAAAATACAATTTTTGAAGTCAATTTTTTTCGTCACACGTATTAGGCTTTTATCTAAAAGTTAACGTCCCGACTTAAAAGATATATTTTTATTGTTAGGTAAATATTTTGTGGTGTATGGAAGTAGCACTAAACTTGTTAGCTGTATTTTTCTTTTTGAAATTACCAAAATACACTTTAAAGACGAGTAGTTTTAGGGTTTTTTCCTAGTGTACGCTTTACCTTTAACCTGGTCTTGAATAATTTATTCAAGAAGAGAACTCTAACGTCTTTCATTCGATGGATTCCCTCAATTTTTATTCTTTCAACGCCCTTTTCCTATCGGTTCAGTCAATACAATTTGTAAGTACATAAAATATTCAGGAGACTTCAAGAAAGTGGACCGAGGCACACATTGTATGTTGTATGTTCAAGCAATTACCCAACCATTATTGTTTGTCAATTATTCCTCAATTCCAAACACTCTATTATTATATTTGTAAATACCTCATCTCTTATTAATATTTAATAAACATAAGTATTCTGAAATGGATTCATAATAAAAATGTTTATACTTAAAATCATTAAAGAATGATAGGTTTACATAGCTTACCAGAATCTTCACACTATTTAAATTTCTCTTGGGAATAATCTGTTCAATAGTGTGGTGTGTTAAACATGAAAACTATAAAAGGTTTATAAACACTGTATTATCAATGTTCAATAAATCAAATGCTAATTATTGGTAAAATTACGTTCGTATAAGAATTTAAATCCTAGTATCTTGCTTAAGACTGAGCTATCTCATTAAACAAAGCATACATACGAGAATCACCTGATTTTAAGTCTCCCCCGCCCACAGACTACCGTAACACCAAACCAGCTACCCACAAGTGTGTTGTGGACTTTAGGGTGTTGTTAGGCATTAGGAGATTTTGGCATTGAGGATAGTAAACTATTGAGCAGACCCGACGATTGAGTGAGGTTACTCACTCACACGGCGAAATACAATGCAAGTGTTATTGCTCGTTGGTATTTTGATTGTGGAGCCAATCGCTCCGGGCGAGTCGGCCTGAAAAATCATGAAAACGCCCAAAAAAAAAACATTAAAGAAGTGGGGAGAGTCATGCTTCGGCACGAATGGGTCGGCTCGATCGAAGTGATACTACGGCCTCACAGAAAACCGGCGTGAAACAACCAAAGGGTTGTGTTTCGCCGTGTGAGTGAGGTTACCGGAAACCCAATCCTTCCGATCCCCCAATCCCTCCTCAATACCTAAATCTCCAAATCTCCAATCCCTAAAAGGTCGGCAAAGCACTCGTAACTCCTCCGTTGCGCGTGTCCATGGGCGGCGCTGATTGCTTCCCATCAGGTAGGTAATCCGTCTTATCGTTTCCCGACCTATTACATTAAAAAAAACAATGAAAGAGAGTCGGGAACTACAACAAGTTTTCATACATATTCATGTCTTATATTTTACTTATCCAATATCCTAAACCATAACAAACTTCTTTACCATCAGAAAAACCAGTAAGTCACACTTTATTGCCCCATGAATCTGTCTTGGAGGAACGCGTAACATTCACGCCTACTCCCAAACATACGTCCCATGAATTTTTGATGAGTAATCCGTCCATTGTTTCAGAGTATTCTGGCGTACGACAACAAACACACGAATGCATCAGCGGCGGTAACTGCAGGAGGAATCGGATATACCTACGTCAATCTTAGATTGAAAAGCGCAAGAGGAAAGGAATTGGATTACGATATTGGAATTTATTCTTAAAAATGCTAAGCTGGGTTACTTTGGTATTGGTTCAAATATTTAATATAGTTATAGAGATATAAATGAGATCGACATGTAATAGGGATGTTTAACTGGCATTCGATGCGCTATTCGTGGCGCTAGTGTAGCTTTAGGTCTATTGTCCAATAAAATATTTACTTATGTCAAGTCATCAGTCATTGGGCATTGGTTCATGTTGTAACAATAATTTATCATATACCAAGCAGACGCTGGCGTTCGCGCACCTATTGTTTTTCAATTTTGTCTCAAATTATCACGATTGAAATATTAATGTTAAGTTGATCAAAGGTTTTGCGCCATCTAGCGCCATCTTACTGTACTTCTTATACTCTTCTTCAATATCATCATAGTGATTTTTTTTTGTTGCATAGCTTTTTTCCCAAGAATGTAGAAAGTAAATAGATAGAGATAAAGAAAAAAATATCTATTGTGATAGATGACACATCCCTATTGTGTTTCGTGATTGTCTTTATATTTGTTGTTTTCAGTTTTATTTCTTTTCTATAGTTCAAATGCCTATGTTTTAAAATAAAACTATACATAAGCAGCTATTATTTTATGTATCTTCGGTTGGTTATGGGCGGCATTTTTTTTTTGTAATACATACATATTTATTTTATTTCTGGGACATTTTTATTTCATAAGCAATTTATGATTATTTTAACTCGAGTAAAATTCAAGTTTTGTTTAATCTATTGACATTCATAGACTTTGAATTAATTAATTTAATTTGAAGAAACGAATTTGTTTTGTTGTCAGGTACTCAATTATCTCGCGTATAAGGCTGCACATTAACATAGCCCGGAGAGCAGCACTTTCCAATTGATAAACCTGAACTATTTAAAGTGCACTTTAAAACTCGACTGCTAAGAATGGTGATTATAACAACCTGTACAGTAGAAATTTCATAATTTTAGCCTCTAGAACATAAAAACATTCAAACGCTAAATTTAATTAACTTAAATAAACATTCTCCAAAATTCTACCGAATTTTATGGTAAAATTTCAAATATAAAGTTCAGTACACATTGGCGGCACGCGACGGTTGTGCGGTCACAAAACGTACGAGCGCCCCGTGTGAGCTCTTCCGTACTAACATTTCTCTTATGTACACCCCACCTACATATATGTCCATACATATTTAGATAGGGTATATCCCTATGACCGCAATGTCGCCCGCAACCGTTGAGCGCGACTTTATTTATGGTGAAATGTTTTATAACAAAGCTGCAGCGAAAATGGTTCGTTTTAGACGAAAACAATAGAATTTTGTTGATAGAATTAACAATGGCCTTAACGATAAATTAATTGAGTTAATTTGCGGTATTTTGTCCTGGACTTCGGTGGAAGGAATTTCGGCTCCCACGGGTTTTGTTTATTTTTAGGGCTATGTAAAAAGCTAAAGATAATGTTAGCTTCGGTCATAAATGTTCTAATCTGAAAAGGTCTGATATTTTTTTACGACACCTATGTTGATGTTCAATAGATTAGTTGTCTAGATATCCTATATATTTTATTGGTAGCTTTCAATCACTACATTACTATTTACTTCACAGCAACAAATGGAATCACAACAATGGTAGAGGAAAATAAAAAAAAGAAAATATGTATTACAAACCCACAAATCGGTCATAAATAAAAACTTTTTTAAAGAATTGTTAAGCCGAATCCTGGTTCCTAACGCAAACATGCTACATTAAATCACAATTAAGTAATAACGTTCAATTTATTTTGATTACAACAAACTACTGGTCTTAGCTAACATTAGCTAGCCCCAGTGGAGGTTAGAACTACAGCCCCTATTGACCTGCCTCATCCATCATCCTACAACTTGTTATCCTTTCTCAAAGCGGCTGCTTCATTATGTCCTAAGTCACTGGGCATCAACACTGGGAGTTTGTTATTTTGATCTATTTATGAGTGTTACGATAAATTGATGAAGTTACTTTACAATAGGGTTTTATAGACATATTAAGTAGCTTTTCGAATTCGTGGTTATTGGGTTTTTTTGAGATTTTATTTTATACCTACATTTGTTTAAATTAAATTATATTTTTTACCCGTGTTATTGTAAATTATATCCGGAATACTCACACTTCAATATTTGTACAATATGGGAACGTAATGCTTGGGCACGGCTACCAAGAAAAGTGATACCACGGGCTCAAAGAAAACAGGCGTCAAACTACACTTGCTCTGTTGGTAAGTTTACCGGAGGCCCAATTGAAATAAAAAAGATTCACTAAATCCCCTTTCCTCAAAACCCTAACAAAAATACCGGCAACGCTGCAAGAGAGTGTCTTTGGGCAGCGCCGAATGCTTACCATCACCTGAATCGTCTGTTCACCGAAATATCCTGCAAAAAAAAAAAAATTAATTAAATATGTAATTAGTTAGTCATGTGGAAGAAAGACTATTAAACTATGACCTATGACATAGTGTTAATATTAAAGTTACAAAGAGCTTGGTTGGTTGGTTGCGCAAACCTCTAAAGAAGATCAGTATTGGCACATTTTCATTAGTGTTCAAAGCCCCAAATACGTATAATAAACAGCTTTATTTCAGAAAAAATATCCTAATGATCGAAGGTTGAGCAATAACCTCACGTTTTTATTACAGCGATAAGTAAGGTTAGAAAGGAGGATGAGTTATGATAGGATTTTTTGAAATTTATGGATACACTCCACAGGTAGTGTTGATAAATGGTATCACCGGGATCACTTTCTACTTAAGTGCTTTAGTAGTTTTCTTTTAGTTCGATAAAAATGTGTTGCAATTTCGTTCTCTGCAAATAGTTTATTCGTGACTATAATGTTTGCAAGCTAGTCAAACAGTAGAACTTAATAAATATCTAGGGTTCTTATTTCACAATGAGGAAGAGGAAAGATTAGTTAAACAAATTCAGTTTGTATAAGTAATTAAGGCTAACACCCGGTTTCTGAAAGGCTTGTCAACTTTAACTAATCTCCTGTTAAATCTCCTGTCAAGTCATCTGATTGGTTATTGATAATTCAGTCAACCAATCAGATGACTTGACAAGAGATTAAATTGGTTTATTTTAACATCGATCGGCCTTTCGGAACAAGGTGACATTTTTAACGAGAGACAAGGACCTCTGATTCTCAAATAAAGCAACTTTTTCTAATAAACCAATATGGAAATACCATAAAAAATTGTTCTCTATGCAAAATGATCATTCAGCTTTTGCCATTTATATGGGGAAATATTATTTTTTTGACGTTTCGTTATCGGTATATTATTAAAATATAAAAAGTATAGAAAATTATTTCTTGAATTATTCATTTTTTATATGAAATACTTAACAGATTTTTTTAGAAACAATTATTATTTTTATTTATTTACTTATAGACCTACGTGGTTTTGGAAAATCTGAATTCATCGCATAGTGCCATCAATGGTGTCGCGATTTCAATTTGACAACACCGCCTTCACCAAAATATTAAATTATCATTATTTAAATTATCAGTTTATTGAAAAAGGAGGGCGCATTTTCCTTTATTTATTGTATATTTCAAGTTGCATGAAAAAAAGAGCTTTTCGTTAGTCAAAATGACAATTTCTAAACCCAAAACATAAACCTCATCCAAGTAAATATATAAAAAATAAAGTAATATAGGTACAGGAAAATTTATGCATAAAAGGTTTTTACCACTAAAAGCGTTAGTTGAAAATTTATAGTCATTTTAAACCATAAGGGTAACACATGGGTCGTTTGCAAAATGGCGAAAATAATGCAACTGGTAAAACGTACGACCGTTCTTTGCTATGATTTAATGTGCAATAACATTTCCGTGCCATCCACTTATACGGGTATGCCCCAGAAACTAAAGTATGCAATGGATACAGAAATACCTGATGCACCGATGTTATTTATTGCTTGTCTACATACATAATCTATGTTTCATATTAAATTATTATTATTCAGTAGGTACCTTTTTGAAACCTTGTGATTAAACAAATTTATTTTATTTCTCTTTATTAATAATTGTTAAAGAGAAATAATTGGTTTCTTGCACTTACGTCTTTTTATAATTATTATAAATGCGTATAAAAATCTGTAGTTTTCTACACAGACTATAGTTTGCCGAGTTGACTGGACTAAAACTTGAGGCTCCGCTTATAATTCCTAAAGTTGCGGATTTGAAAACTGGCAACTACTAATATATTTTTTTCCAAGTTAAATTTTTTTTCTAAGACTATTTTGACATCAATGACATGCGATGAAGGAAAATATCGTCATATTATTATGTCGACATTAGCAATAGATACTTGAGCTGGCGTGTTTTAATGTTTCTTCATGTACTTTGCTTCGAGAAAGGCTTTTTTTCTGCAGTAAGGCCAGTAATGTGAATATGTATAGCATCGAATTGTCCGAAGTTATTGATTCGGTATAATGCAGAAAAATGAAATATAGTTAGAACAATTACAAATGCGACTAAACCCCAACGTAATAATGACTTTTAGTTCTTCACCAAAGAAATGTTTAAGGTAAAACCTATCCTGAATCCATATTCATATCAAAAAACATGTTTACATACGCAATCCACTTCCCAAAATGGACCACACATATTTCCTGTCACGTCACTCTTTGCCGTTCTAATATTTCATAGGACAGCAAAAGGGCAAATTGTATCAACGGCAAGGCGTCTAGAGTGGAATGTGACAGTAGAGCCAAATTGGAGGCGACAACATGCTTTTAGCGTCTCGTCTCAGCCTCAGACCTCTGTGGATAGTGGTACAATAGGATCACTGCTTTTACGTGGCTTAAGTAACAAGCTTTAAGGTATGGTGAAGTGGTTTTGTTAGGCCTCTTTCATTTAGATAAAGGCGTATGTATTTTTGTTATAAATATATACATATGTAATTTGCTAACTTTTTTCAATAGAAACTAGTGTAAGAGATGCATGAGATGATGAATTTCTTCAAAATGTCGCCGTCGCGCCGTCGTCGCAGTCGCCGCGACGTGCATGCACGTCGC